CGAGAGGGGCGGGAGTGCAGAGGCCGTCGGACCACGCACGCACGCCTGCGGCGGGATGCCCCGAGCGCTAGGCGCCATGCGCGCCAAGGCCCACTCCCTGCAGAGCCAGCGGGCGAAGGGCGGCAGCGGCACGATGCACCTGAGGGCCACGACGGCCCATGCCGAACCTCTCGACGACGCTATCGGCGGCAGCAGTGGCCGCCGCCGTCCACACTCGTCATCGTCCTCGGCGCCGCGGTCGCAGGTGCTGCAGCGGGCGGAGTCGTCGGCGCAGCACGCGCGCCGACGCCAGCGCTGCTGTCGAAGGCGCCAACAGCATAGCTGCGGGCGCCGTCGTCTGCAGCCGTTGTCGTCGTCAAACCTGCAAACCTGCAACCGCGGTGCCACAGTGCCGCGTCGCACCGAGGTGCCGCGGCGCAAAGGCCACGGCTCGCCAAGCTTGCACGGGGCGCTGGCGGCGCCCACCAGGCTAACGGGGCCTGGCGAGAACTTCCCGCCAGCGGCAGGCACGGCCAACAGAGCGCAGCCGATGCGCCAATAAAGCATCGCTCGATCCCACCATACTCGCACGTGGCAGGGAGAGCGAACATGCCGAACAGCGGGCCAGCAGGGCCATCAAGTAGTTCTCCTTTTTTCTCATTTCAACCCCTGAAAGATTCTGCTGATGACGGAGGCGGCGACAACAGCAGGCTCCCACGACAGGAACGTGTATGGGACCTGACGGGGAGAGCTCGCCATAGCGAGCTGAACTTCACTGGACGGCGTTGCGAACAGAGAAGCGGCGCCAGAGCGACAGCAGCCGTTGCCGACGCTGGAAGCGGTGCAGGGGCCAGGTGGAGTTGCACAGCAGGCCGCAGAAGCACCTTGCCTCCACCACCACGATAGCAGGGGGGGGGATGGGCTACAGTCGGGGCGGACTGGCTTCCCAGGCCCGACCCACGGGGGCTGCCCCTGCGCAGCTGTCACCGTGGAGGCCACTAACAGGCGCACCAAGGCCGCGCAACAGGTACGCGCCACAAAACAAAAAGAAAGGATGAGGGAGAAGGCGTCGTCGGGCTGACGGAGCCCCACAGCTCGGGTTCAGGGGCTGGCTGCGTAACCAGCACCACCAACCAGGACGAAAACCCAAACCCCCGAAGGGAACCCCTGCGGAGGGCCTGGGCGGAACGAGAACTGGCAGACTGGCAGTCGGCGATGCCGTGGGGCTGGCAGTTGGCGTTGCCGTCCTGCGGGCAGCCCGTGTCGCGGCCCCGCAGTCGGCGACGCCGTCGGGCTGGCAGTCGGCGTTGCCGTTGGACTGGCATGCTGGCAGTCGGCGTTGCCGTCGGACTGGTCGTAGGCGTTGCTGTCGGACTGGCAGTCGGCGACGCCTTCGGCCTGGCAGTCGGCGTCGACATCGAGCTGGCAGTCGGTGTCGCGGTCGGACTGGCAGTCGGGATTGTCAGTAGACTGGCAGTCGGCGATGCCGTTGGGCTGGCAGCCTGGATTGCGGGTGGGCTGGCAATCGACCATGCCGTCGGATTGGCCGTAGGCGTTGCCGTCGGACCGACAGTCGGCGTTACCGTCCTGCTGGCATACGGTGTCGCGGTCGAGCTGGCAGTCGGCAATCCTGTTGACATGGCAGTCGGCGTTGCGTTGAGCGGGCAGTCGGCGCTGCCGTCAGACTGGCCGTAGGCGTAGCTGTCGAACTGGCAGTCGGCATTGCCGTCCTGCTGGCAGTCGGCGTCGCGGTCCGACTGGCAGTCGGCGTTGCCGTCGGACTGGCCGTCGGCGTTGCCCGTGGACTGACAATCGGCGTCGCCGTCCTGCTGGCAGCTGGTGTCGCAGACTGACTGGCATTCGGCAGTGCCGCTAAACTGGCAGTCGACATTGCCGTTGGACTGGCAGTCGGAGATGGTGTCGGACTGGCCGACTGTCGGCGTTGCCGTCCTGCTGGCAGCTGGCGACGCGGTCGGACTGGAAGTCGGCGTCGCCATCGAGCTGGCAGTCGGCATTATCGTCGGAATGGCAGTCGGCTAGCTGAGCGATGTTAGTACGCCCCGCAACCACCACCTGTACGAGCACGAGGCCCTTGGCCATACCCTCGATTGCGAAGTCCCTGAAACGGCACGCGCAAACCACCCCTCGCTGAAACGGGCGACCAGCTTCACGGCCACGAGGACTGCCGCGGTCACGGCCGTAGAGTGACGGTGCCGCGGTATCTGGTACACCGCGCAGCCGCAAGACACGAAGGGCTCGCCGAAGCAGCCTAGGACGCCCTTCACGACGTCCTCAGAACCCCCATTGACAATGACGCAGGTCACCTCGCAGGCCACCGCGTGTAGCCCGTCACCGGCACAACCGACCACGGTACCATGGCACCATGGTCGAGGCGACCCTACGGCCCTGTGACCGAGAGCTCCTGCCAGCGGCAAGACGAGCGAGGGTCGCCTTCGCTCCAGCGGAAGCCCCTGCCCGTGCGATAGTCGCCGCCGCCGCCGTTGCCGTTGCCGTAACGGTTGTCGGCGCTGCCGTCGGTGCTACCGCCGCCGCGGCCCTTCGCCGCGGGCAGACTCTGCCCCGAGATGTTGGCCCAGAGCACTGCCGTGCCGTCCCAGGACCTGGTCAGGGACCCACGCCCGTCGGGCGAGCACAGGGAGGCGTGGCCGCGGCCAACGCGGCCTGCAGCACGTACGAGGGCTACCTCGCCCCGGCGGGGCACGCCCTTGCAGGAGAGACCAATAAGCTGGCAAGGCCTGAAGCGAAGGCAAAGACACCGCCGACCCCGCACGGACCAGCCCTTCGCGCTGCAATCCCAAGAGCCAACGCGGCGCGGTCCGAGCTGCGTATGTCCACCAGCTCCCCGCACTCCAGCGAAGCGAACGGTAGCGGGAACGCAAACGCCACGGTGCTGCCATCGACCCTGAGCTCAACTGTGAGGGACAGCACCGCGGCCGCCTGCGAGCAGCTCAAGTCCATAACCAGAGCAGGCAGCCCGCAGCGTCCGCCCAAACCCTCTCCGCAGGCAACGGTGCGTCCACTGCGCCTGAGTGGGACTCTGCAGACCGCTTCAGCGGGATCCTGCGTACAGCGCAGGTCGGCGACCAGAGTGGGGAAGTCGCGCGGACCAGAATCTCTGATGGCCCAGGCCACGGCGCCGCAACTGCTCCTGAGCCGCTGGGCCACGGCGACCGCCCCGAACCGCTGGGCCACGTTAACGCAGCGCCGTCCCAGGACCCAGTCAGGACCGCATGCCCGTCCGGCGTGTTCACTGCGGATTCGACGTAACTGCCGTGGCCCTCCAGCGCGCGCAAGAACACCTGCGACACGGCGGACCAGAGCCACGCCGGGACGCCCTGGGAGACCACGTGGTCCAGCTACTCGTCGTCCGAGTAGACGGCGGAGTGCACGACCCCCCTGAGTGCACACTCGCTCGCCCACTGCCGCCAGGTCCATGGCGCAAACCTCTGCCCCACGGGCAGGCGCAGCGCTGCCGCGGAGGGCGGGGGGCGCCGCCTGAATCTGTTTTACATAGACCACCTGAACCCAAACAGCTACGGAGAAGCCGTCGCGCTACTCGTTGCTTCCCCACCATACTCCCGTGCGCTGAGCTGTAGACTCATCATCATCATCATCATCATCATCATCATCATCATCATCATCATCATCATCATCATCATCATCATCATCATCATCATCATCATCATCATCATCATCATCATCATCATCATCATCATCATCATCACCACCACCATCAGCAGCAGCAGCATCAGCATCAGCATCAGCATCAGCATCATCATCAGCAGCAGCAGCATCATCTGCATCATCAGCATCATCATCATCAGCACCAGCATCATCAGCATCATCATCAACATCAGCATCATCAGCATTATCATCAGCAGCATCATCAATATCATCCTCATTCTTATCATCATCATCACCATCACCATCACCATCACCAACATCATCAACATCATCATCCTCAGCAGCAGCATCACCATCGTCATCAACGGGAGCATCAACATCAGCATCAGCATCCTCCGCATCATCATCATAAACATCAGAATCAGCATCATCCTCATCAGCAGCAGCATCATCAGCAGCAGCATCACAATCAGCATCAACAATATGATCGTCAACATCATCTACATCATCATCAGCAGCAGCATCATCAACAGCAGAATCAGCATCAGCATCACCATCATCTTCATCCTCATCATCATCATCCTCATCCCCATCATCATCACCATCATCAGCAACAGCATCGGCATCAGCAGCAGCATCAACAGCAGCAACAGCATCACGATCCTCATCATCATCATCATCAGCAGCATCATCAGCAGCAGCATCATGCAGCATCATCATCATCATCATCATCATCAGCATCATCATCATCATCATCATCATCATCATCATCATCGTCATCATCAGCATCATACTCGTCATAACCATCATCGTCGTCAGCATCCTCAGCAGCCTCATCATCCTCATCAGCATCAACATCATGAAACATCAGCATCAGAATCATCACACCGTCATCATCATCGCCATCACCATCACCATCACCATCACCACCAGCACCATCATCAGCATCTGTATCATCAACATCGTCATCATCATCATCAGCAGCAGCACCACCATCATCAGTATCATCATCGTTGTCGTTGTTGTCGTCGTCAACACAAGCATCATCATCATCATCAGCAGCAGCATCATCACCACCACCATCACCATCACCAATCAACCAATCAGCATCATCATTGTCGTTATCATCATCGTCATCATCAGCAGCAGCACCATCATCGCCATCAGCATCATCATTACCATTGTCATCGTCGTCATCATCAGTATACCGTCGTCCTCAGCAGCCCTCCTTCTCTCCATAAGCATTCCGCCTCCCCCTCCGCCTCCTGCTCCGCCTCCTGCTTCGGCTCTCCCATCCCCCTTCCTCCTTAACCTCCTCCGCCTCCCCATTCCTGCTCCTCATATTCCCCGATTTTCCGTGAGGCCCCCAGCGCGGCCATGCGCTCGTCGACGGCGTCGAACCCAGACTGTAGAGCGGCGTCGCCGCCGAAGACCTGTTCTGGGATCAGGGGGGGCGTCCAGAGCTCCTCAATGCCCCTCCTCCTCCTCCTCCTCCTCCTCCTCCTCCTCCTTTTCCTCCTGCCCGCCGTCGGGGCTGCCGTCGGGACTCTAGCTAGTGCCGCAGTCGTGACGACGATGTTATCCAAGTACGACGTGCACTCTACACCACCAAAGGTCTCCGACTTGAGATGCCAAGCAGTCACGGTGAATACCAATGATCTGCCAGCGTAGCCCCTGGCACGTTGAGGCGCGGTCGCATGCCACGTGCTGTCGGGCAGGGCGTCTGCAATCGTCTACAGGAAGTTCCCCTCCCGTCACTGAGGGCTGCGTGCACCACCACCCCTCCCGAGGCTACGACCCCTTGTGAAAGAACGAGGGATCCGCGCTCACGGGGTCGTCCCAAAATCACGATGCCTCGCAGCAAAAACAATGGATCCGCACTCAAGAGGACACGACCCCCTGTAAAAAAAATTGGCCCGCGCTCTCCAGGCCACAATCCACACACACAAAGCCGCACCTAGACGGCGCATTGGCACAGAAATATTACGAACTCGCACATGCAGGCACACCACTCAAAAACAACAACTCCATGCAGGGGGAAAGGTATGCAATCACAAGCAATCATTGTACTTGGTGACCCGCTGTTCGTGCAAACAATCCGAGGCCACAATCTGCTCTGTGCAAAATAATAACGACTCCACACTCCCGAGCTTCCAAGACGGCGGAGGCAGGCAGCCAAGGCCGCCCAAGATGACCCTAGATGCCTCCAAAGCGGAGCAAAACGGCCCCCAGGCGACCCAAGATGGCCTCGAGACGGCCCAGGAGGCCCCCAAGACCACCCAAGAGGGCCACAACAGGAGCCCCAGTGAGGCCCGAAGACGCCAAAATCATGCGTTCTCCTGTTTACTCGAAGATTGGGGCCTCCACCTTTCGTGCTTGCTGCAGCTCCAGACGGTCACAGAGGCCTCCAAGATGGCACCAAGACGGCCCGATAAAGCTCCAAAATGGCCCAACAGTCTTCCAAGACGGCCTCAAGACAGCCCAACAGGGCCCCTGGACGGCCCTGGGCAGCCCCAAGAGAGCCACAGCCTCCAGAGGGGCCCAAGACGTTAGAAAGCCCAAAGACGGCCCCATGACGGTCCCAAGAGACCCCCCAGACGGCCAAGAGGGCCCCAAGATGGCCCAAGAGAGCCCCAAGACGGACCAAGAGGGCCCCAAGACGGCCCAGAAGTGCCCCCGACGGACCCCCAAGACTGGCCCACAGGAGCCCAAGCAAGGGCAGAAGAAACTGGAGAATCCTCCAGACGATAAGGAGGGTAAACAATCGAAACGGCCATCCAGCGCTGTCCTAACAGCGTCGCGTCCCTGCTGGCCAGATCGCGGGCCCTCTTGCTGGCATCCACCGAGGGCGAGAGGCCCAACGGACTCCAAGACATCCAGTGGAGGAAGGAGCTTCCAGAGAGGAAGGGACGAGGAGGAGGAGGACCCTGCAAGAAAGTTTAGGAGGAGGAGGAGGAGGACTTCGAAGATCGAGGCTTTGGGGCGTCACCCCGTCCGACTCTGAGACGGCGGCCGGCCGTGCCCCAGACCGGCTCGATGCACGCTGCCGCGCGTGCCAGCACGCGCGGAATCGGGTGTCGAACTGGTCTCGCTTACCAGACCACATGGAGCGAAAGCAAGTGTGTCTCGGCGGTGGACAAATCTCCCTTTAGTAAACCTCCCCTTGGTGAAAACGGCCTGGGCCCGAAACCGACGGACCTGGACCCGGAAAAATGACGGCCGCGACGCCCTCTCGCGAATCGACAACGGCCAATTCCTGAATCGACGTGTCAGGGTAGGAGGTCTATCGACCTCCGAGTGTCGGAGGATCGCACCACATCGCCGACGCATCGCCGATGCAACCGCGACATCGGGACGGAGAAAATCGGACTCCAGATCGCGCCGCGTCGATGATGCATCGGCGATGCGCCACGATCCTCCGACACCACCTACACTCATAATTTGCCAGAAGGAGCATTCGATAAGGAGACGAAGCTCGTTCAGAACCGTAGCTGCGGCCTAGATGCACAAGGAGCGCCAGAGGAAAACCCATACAAAACCTGAGGAACATCGAGCCCCTTTCGAAACCAAAGTGGGCCTTATCTCAAAGTTCAGGCTGCACTCTGACCCCAGAGGAGAAGGCTGCACACATGTCTAGCAGCGATGGCGATCGCACATCGCGGTCGAGGCCTGGGTGGGGCCACTGCTGGGCGAATTGCGCACAAGACGGTGTGGGACAGGAGGAGAGGGCGGCCCTGGAGGAGAGGAAGGAGGCCTGGCAACACGGTCAACTTCTTCCAGCGTCTGCTTCGACAGCGTCGTGGGCGCAGCCCTCCCCCAGGGAGCGCGCGCGCGCGCGCACGGCGCGAGGCTCGCCGCCAAGGCAGCACGCGAGGCAGCACGCGAGGAAGCACGCGAGGCGAAAAGGCGACAGGCGCGGGCGCGCGCGGGCGGCTGGCGCACAGGAACGGCTGGCAGGCGAGCCGCCGGGCAGGCACCCTGCGGGCGTCGCGGGCAGGGGGGGAAGGGGGAGAGCATCAAGCGAGGCTCCAGTTTTTATGGGCGCTTCTCGCCCCTCTCTCGGGACAGGGTTCGGGGTGAGCTCTGAGCTCGCGGAAGCCAGACCTCCGCTGGACGCGCAGGCGCGGGTGCGAGCGAGCCAGAGGCGGCTGGCGAGCAGGCAACTGGACGGGCGGTGGCCCCACAAGCCCCTCCGGGCGCAGGGGCGGGGGCCCAGCAGCTAGGAACGCGCTGTCTGGCCCCTACTACCTTCCTCCTCCTTCTCCTCCTCCTCCTCCTCCTCCTCCTCCTCCTCCTCCTCCTCCTCCTCCTCCTCCTCCTCCTCCTCCTCCTCCTCCTCCTCCTCCTCCCCGTCCTCCTCCTCCTCCTCCTGCTCCTTCTCCTCCTCCTCCTCCTCCTCCCTCCTCCTCCTCCTCCTCCCCGTCCTCCTCCTCCTCCTCCTCCTGCTCCTTCTCCTCGTCCTCCTCCTCCTCCTCCCAAAACATATTCAAATCACTGGCTTTCCAAAAGTTTGTAAAAGATTTTAGCGTTCCTGCCCTGTCAGACTTCCACTGGCAGAAGACAGCCTCAAAGGCCTCCAGGACAGCCCCCAAGAGGGCCCCTAGGCTACACGCAAGAGAGGCCGTAGGCAACATAGAGGGCAGAAAATCCACCCCAAGAATAAGCACCCCGACAAGCGAAGCCGTTTGGTAAACGCACCCAAGGAAGAAATCGAACAGGGCAGGGCTTTTTAGTTAACGCCCAGGGCCGTTGAGTAAACGCCAATTGTCGGGGTCGGGGTGGTTTTTCCTCCCTTGACAACAGCAATTTTTGGTGCGCGGCTTTCGTGGGCCGCGGGGTGGCCAGATCCAAGCGCGCAAGCCAATGGTAGGTGGAACTCCTGTGGGTCTGAACGAAGGGTCACTCCAACGAAGGGCCACTCGCACGCGTAGGCGACCCTGCAGTTCCATTCCTCCCTCTCTCCCTCCCCGGTACGGCCCAAAAGGCGCCCAACATGGCCACAAGAATGCCCCAAGACGGCCCCAGACTGGCCATGGACTGGCGACAGGCGCCGGGCGACGGGCGGTGGCGCATCCCCGGCGGCCCGCGGGCAACCTGCACGATCCACTCGAAACCCAGGCACGTGCCTGGGCGCCCGTGCGGGCGTCGGGTCGTCGCTGCCGTCGGGCGTCGTCGACGTCGCAGCCGCCGCCGCCCGTCGGAAGTCGTCGTCGTCGTCGTCGGACGTCGTCGCCGTCGTCGGAGATCATCATCGCCGTCGCTGTTGCGGTGGAGTGTATTTGGTACAACGCGATGCGATGCTTCCTTCGTAATGCAATCTACGCGGTGCAATCTACGCGGTGCAATCTATGTGGTGCAATCGACGCGGTGCAACCTACGTAACGCAATCTATGCGGCGGAATCGATGTGGTGCAATTAATTATTGTTCGCAATGTATTATCACTCCACTGCTCGCGCAAACATCCCACCCACCTACCCGCAATTTGGTTTGCTAACCTCATGCGGCGGCGATTGCGATGAGTGCTCGGCGCTGGCTGGTGCATCTCTGCGGCCGCGCCCACACAAGCACGCGCGAGCAGCGGCCAGCTAGTCTGGCGTGCCCGACGCGGCCCAGGCGGCCCTGACCGCTGGGCACATCCCAGCGGGCACTTCAGTGCGAGTCGGTGGCTTGGGCGTGCGCGGTGTCATGACAACGTCGACAACGGTAGACACGATGATGATAGTAGCGATGCTGGCGACGATGCTGACAGCGACGACGGGGCAGCCAGTGACGGCTCCGATGCTGATCACGCCGACGACGATGACGGCGGCCTCACGTCGGCCATGAAGGTTTCGGAAGGAATTCGAAATGCGCGCGCGGCAGATGCGCGAGAGTGGCTCGCATGGTATTATTTGACATGGATAGTGCTACCCCAGCACGCGCGCAAAGGCGTTCGAACGATTTCGACATGCGCGCGCGAAGCCCATTTGGTAGCATGTTCTGAAAACGTTGAAAAACGGATGCCTTGCGCAAGAATTCGGAAGAGCGCGCGCGCACGCTTCCGTTGAACATCAGTGTTGCGAAACCCTGTGTGTGAATGTTTTTTGGACACTCAATTTTGCAATCCTTCCGAAACCGAAGGTTTTTGAAGGATTCCGGCATGCGCGCGCGACGACGCGCGCGCGTGCACGTCGTGTATTTTTTTGCAGAGGACTTTCGCGACGGCACGCGTGCAAGGGCGTTCGAACGATTTCGGCATGCGCGCGCGAAGCCCGTTTGGTAGCGCGCGTGCGCATTTCGTCCCGCTTTTTGCAAAGAATGTTTGGAAACTTGTGTAGAATGTTTTTTCGCAAAGGAACCGAAGGGCGAACCGATACCGGCCTGCTGGGATAGTAGGAATTCACAGGTAGGATGGACATTGGATCAGCGTCATATGCGTTTTGCACCGGTTCCCGGTGAGTCTATAGCCTGGGGGGGGGGGTGGTAGAACCTATTTGTTTGAAAAACCGAGTATGATAATTTATATTAACAAACGCACTGACGCATCCCATGCTCTTGCAAACATCCCACCCACCCACCCGCAACCTGGTTTGCAAAACCCATGCGGTGGCAATTGCGCTGAGTGTTCAACGTTGGCTGGTCCATCTCTGCGGCCGCGCCAACCCAAGCACGCGCGAGCAGCGGCCAGCTAGTTTGGCGCGGCCGACGCGGCCGAGGCGGCGCTGACCGCTGGGCACATCCCAGCGGGCACTTCAGTACGAGTCGGTGAGTTGGGCGTGCGCGGTATCATGGCAACGTCGAACACGGCAGACACGATGATGATAGTAGCGATGCTGGTGACGATGCTGACAGCGACGACGGGACAGCCAGTGACGGCTCCGATGCTGATCACGCCGACGACGATGAAAGCTTCCTCGCGGTGGTGATGAAGGTTTCGGAAGGAGTTCGACATGCGCGCGCGGCAGACGCGCGAGAGTGGCCCGCACGGTATTATTTGACATGGATCGTGCCCCCCCAGCTCGCGCGCAAGGGCGCGCGAATGATGTCGGCATGCGTCGCCAGAGGCCCGTTTGGTAAAAGTCCATGAAAAATAATGAGAGCCCGATGGTTTCCTTAAGAATTCGCAAGAGCGCGAGCGCAAGCTTTCTTGAAAATCGATGCTGCGAAACCACGTGCTATTCCCAACCATCCTGTGGTGTTGGGTCCTCGTTTTGAAGGGACAGCGCCCCGAGTCCCTCCTCCTCTCCTCTCCTCTGCTCTCCTCCTCCTCCCCTTCCTCCTCCCCCTCCTCCCTTCTCCCATCCGCCTCGTCACCTCCCTGCGCTTCACCCACCCAGGACAGCGCTTCGTGGCCCCATAGGGAACTCCACCGAAGGCTCCAGTGGCAGGGGCCACATGCGTCAACGCCACCGAAGACAGCGCTTCGTGTCCCCATAGGGAGCCCAACCGAAGGCTCCAGTGGCAGGGTCCGCATGCGTCAACGCCACCCAGGAAAGCGTGTCGTGGCCCCATAAGGAGCTTCACCGAAGGCCCCAGTGGCAGGGTCCGCATGCGTCAACGCCACCCGTGACGGCGCTTCGTGGCCCCATTTGGAGCTCCACCGAAGGTTCCAGTGGCAGGGTCCGCATGCGCCAACGCCACCCAAGACAGCGTTTCGTGCCCCCACCCCGGATAACCCGGGTTATCGCCGATTCAAAAAAACGGTCCTGGGGGGCTGCGAACTGTCGCCAGTTTTCGAACTGATCAGCCTAAACCCTAAACGTAAACCCCGTTACTCTTCTAGCATGTGGCCTCACTCCTCGTCCTTCTATCGCTGTCCGGTGAGTCGTGCAACGTACGCGCATCTCATGTAGCTTGCACAACACATGACCGCGCCTGCACCGTCGTTGTCCATGCAAGTTTGGACCAATTGCCTCGTGTCACTTGATGCAAATGGGTTGGGTACGTCACAATGTCATGTGTTAGATGGACTTTCGCATTCTCGCCGTCTCAGGCGTCTGAAAGCCCAAGACGGCCTAAGAGGCCTTCTAAATCGGCCTAAGAAGGGCTAGCAAGCGCCCAGGACACCCGAAACAATCCAAGAGAGCCACGAGACGGCCCCAGACGCCCAAAAGACCCGCGAGAGGGTCCCCAAGAGGGGCTCGACGGAGGAAGCTCTAATGGGCCCTGGGGCGGCTCTCCGCCAAGATGGTCCCTAGTCACCCATCACACCCCCAAGACGCCCAAAAAAAGCTCCCAGAACGCCCCAAGACGTCCCCAGGGGGCCCCCAAGGCTCCCAGTAGGCGCACCCGAGGCCCCCAAGAGGCGCCCAAGAAGCCCCTCAACAGACCCCGAGAGACTTCCACAATGTCCCGTCCTCCTCGTTCTCCTCCTCAGCTTCCTTTTCGCCGTCGTCGTCATCATCCTTTTCCTCAGAGGCCCCCCATCCGTTTTCCTCTTCTTCCTCGCAATATCAGACCAGACTTGCTCGAAAACATGTTCTATGCCCGACCCGCTGCGCATTCCAGCTTCCCCCCGAGCACTTTGGGGGAGGCGGCTCCCATGTGCGGAACACCGAGCACGTGGGAAGCGGGCCTTGCTCTTCTATGCAGCTGCCCGGCTAAGCGACACTTACCCACACCATCCTATTATTTCTGCTGGTGCCCCCCCACCTCCTCCTCCTCCTCCTCCTCCTCCTCCTCCTCCTCCTCCTCCTCCTCCTCCTGATCCTCCTCTTCCCCGTCCTCTCAAGGCAGCGAAATCATATGTGTGTACGCGTGGGCCGCCACTCCGCTGGACACCACCGTACCGAAATGGCGTCTCTTCGTTGGGCGCCCCGTGGATGTCCCTCCTCTTCTGGATGCCGGCGGAATGGCGTAAGCCCCGTGAGTCCGAAAAAGACGGCACGTGGAGTAT